ACTCCACCTTTTCAATTCGGCTTCCAGCAGCACTACTTAGTTGGGAGGGAATTGGAACCAGTACTATCTGTGTGAATGAGGGAGCAAGTGTGTGTGTGTGTGTGTAAAAGGGTCTGTATTAATGTCTAGGGTGTTGGTGAAGCTGGAGCAAAAGGGGGCCCCATGAAAAAGGGGGTCAAACACATAGAGAGCATTTTAGCACAAAGTGGAAGATGAGAGGAGAGGGAAAGGCTGAACCGAGGCCACGGAGGTTGTGAAAAGATAGGGGCCCATACTGAGATCACACCTGCTCTCTGACATGCAACACACACACACACACTACTGTGGGTTACAAGTCATGTAAATGAAGGTAACAAGGGTACAACAGTGAATGAAGAATTATAATAGCTTGTATAGAGAAGCTGCGGCACACTTACATTAAAATAAAGTATTTCTAATATTTCATTCTTCAGTATATACATTTCAGGTGACTCCATTCTTCTCCCTACAGGATCACACAATTGTGATCCAACTGACTCGATTTGGAGGAAACATTTTTCAAACCTTGCTGTATTTTGTACTAAAACTGTGAGTCAGTGGGAAAAATCAGTTATTTAAAGCAAACAGCTGGGACGTCCTGATAGCTAGCAGTTAAGGCCCAACAACGCATTTGTTGTATTCTATATTCTTGTGTATTTTTATTGTCCAGCTCTGCAATAAAGGCCAAAAAATACTGTTTTGGAAGCACACTGATCAAAACCCTACACAATGCTTATATTTATAAAACTGTGAGCCTCCGTTAAAAAATATGGTTTAGTTTGACTAAATCTGTAGCTCCATGAGTCCCAAGATCATCAGTTCCTGGATGAGCAGATTTAAAAATATTCTCTGGTTGTGTTTTACTGTAATTTCAGCTAATGTTTAGTGATATTTTCTCAAGAAAGTAATGTAGCAGTGGTTTACTTTCTACTCACCATGAATAAATCTCTGGCTTCCAAATCCATAGCAAGGAGCAAGGCCTTCTCAAAGCGCTGGTGCCTGCAGAGGAAGTGGAGACGGTTAAAAAGGAAACAGCAATCATTAATTTAAACTTATTTAACTTTAAATGAAAAATTACAAATAGGTAAGGTCACTGGTACATATTTGTGTACACACACACACCTCGATCCACACACCTCTGCATACACAACTGTCAATAACTGAGCTGAGAGTAGCGAGCCTGCTTCCTATTTTCCAGAATTAAAACTGGAAGAGAGAGAGCGAGAGAGAGAGCTGTATCTCCCAGTACAATACACCTCAACTTTCCCTGTCTACAGCCAACATGAAACAAACAAGCACAAGCGGAGAGAGGAGGTGTGGGGGGGGGCTTCTTTCATTTGATGTTGATGGATAGAAAAAGAATGCAGGTAGGTGATAAGAGAGGAGAGGAGGAGGGATGCCAAACAACACTGCAGCTCTGCTACACAGAAAGAGAAAGTGAGAGAGAGAGAGAACGGGGTGGTAATTGCAGGATGGAGAGCAGTAAGCAGCAGTGTGTGGGAACAACAGGGTCTATTTCAGTCAAACAGGGATTTCAAAAGGCTCTCATGGCAGAAGGGAAAAATGAAACAACAGTCTAAACAGGTGCCTGTGCGGTGCTTTGCCTTACAAATCACTCAAAGCTGCATCAGTGTGTGTGCACAATAAACTTGAAAAAGCATTTCCTTTTCAAAATTTTAAAATATCAGTAGTGAGCAGCAAATAATCAGCTGTCGCTTTGATGGATGTAATTTTCTGAAACATTATTTCTTACCCTGATTCTGCAACCTATGTTAATAAACTGAACAAAATGCTCTGGTAATGCCTTAAAAACTGTGTAGATTGGTGACTGCAGACGTACATGACCGTAGTCAGTCGCCTTGAATCACTAATCAGATGTTTGATGAACAAGACATATGTGATTTTAATGCATTTTTTGTTTATTTTAAATTTGATATTACTGAGCTTTAACACAATGGAGGATCCATGTTATACCTGTTTTTGGTTCAAATAGCAAACCCTGACCCTTGAGCCCCCTGAGGCCATGCACAAAACAAACGTCTCCATCAGTACATTAAACTAGGATCAGAGGAACAGTGCAGAGCGGTCTTACCTGAGGAGGTGGTGAAAGAAGCGGCGAGCGTACTTGCTGACTGGCTCCCTGTACTCCAGTATGACCATGTCAGAGAGAGGGGTAGGTGGAGAATAGAACACACTGAGAGCTGCTTGGAGTTGGGCTACAAACACAACAGAAACACAAATGATAACACAATCTAACAAAATAAAATCTAAGTGCTTTTTTTCATTTCCTTGTAGCATAAATGGTAGGTTAGCAGCGTAGCCTGCAAAACTGCAAACCATGAGGCACAGGTCAGTTATACTGATTAGCATTTTTCACTTGCAGCGACTATGACAAGCTTCAAAACACCAGCTAAATTTGCAGAAATATCTGTCAAATGATGTAACCTGAAGTTATCTGACCCAGAGACCCACCCTCTCTCTCTGCGTTCAGCTCTAGCCTCAGCAGGTGGTTGGTGACGGAGCTCAAACCTCGATAGCATTCATCTGCCATGGTGCCCCAGTCCATGGTCTGCAGGATGCCCAGCGCTTCTCTGACCTGGCCACAGCGCAGCCGCTGCTGCAACAGCTCCCCTGGACCCATCAGGCCCCCAGTCAGCGCCCCTGTCACATGGAGTCAGAGCTTGATTTTTGTTTGTAATAACACAGTTTAAGGATAAAAACAACAAAATCAAGAGTTAAATGCAGCAGGCTATCATTACAAATGATTGTGGCTGTTGAACGGAGGTGATTGATTATGCTTTTGTTTGTGTGTGTGAACAGATCAGGACTCTGATGAATAAAGGGAGGGCAAGGTTTTATAGTTTGCCCCGTAGCAGACGTGGCTCCTGAGTGGACAAAGGCGCCTGTGTTTGTGACTTCATAAAGTACACATACGAGAAGTGATGGAGAAATTATGGTCCACTGTGACTTGATCACAATGAAGTATATAGTTGAAAGAATCACTGAGTTATTTTGGAAAAGGCTGATGTGCGTCATAGTTCAGGTGATCAGTGACAGCGGTTTTGTCAGTGGGCCAGGCTGCAGGCGAGGAAAGTCACCACTGACTGGTGTCTAATTAATTGAAGAAGGTATTGTGTGTGTGTGTGTGAGCAATTAAAATGACAAGCTAGCCACTAGCAAGCCCTCAAATCCCCTAAAGAGTGGGCTAATGTGGCCAATACATCAGCTGAGTGTAGTGCAGTCTGTGTTTGTGTGTGTGACTATACACTGTGAGGACCAGTTTGAGTTTTGTACCATGGGAATGAGGACATTTTAATATTTTTGATCACTTTGACACATCTTCAAGGGCTGTTTGAGGGTTAAGACTTGGTTTCAGATTAAAAATAATATTAGGTTTAGGTCAAGGTCAAGGTTAAGGTACTGTAGAGTTGTGGTTAGGCATTTAGCTGTGACGGTTAAGTGCCTAAAAATAAGAAATGAACGTACTGAAGCATTTTAAGAATCGATGCAAGTTGCCAAAGTAGTCAATTAAACAGTGGTTGGTTTACATAAAAACCGCTGCCATGGGTAGAAGGCATCTGCTCACTTTAACACCATTTGCATGCTTAGTTACATAACTGTCCTTTAAAAACCACTAATATTTCACTGAATTCCACCCCAACAAAAACGAACTCTTTTCCTTGTGCATCATGCAGCACGTTCCCTGGTCTGCCCTTCCACAGCCTGTACCGGCACAGGCCCAGCCGTGGCCAGCGTGTGTCCAGATGAGATAACTTGGTGTAGGCAGGGAGGGGTGGGGGTGGGCACCAGGGAGGGCTGTCTCCTATGGAAAAAAAGAGAACTTGGAGCTTGGCCAAGTCTTTCTTCCTTGCCGCCTCACTCCTTCTGTCATGTAGCAGGCCTTACGAAACAAGTCAATACAGAGAAGGAGCATAAACAAATAAGCTGGAGTGTGTGTGTGTGTGTGAGTGCATAGAAGCACAGGCACAGAAACAGAGCTACACACACACACACACACGCGTGTTGGGGGGAAATTATCATGGAAAAAAAAACGTGCAGTGACTTTCTTCATCAAAACCTTGGCAGGCGATCAGAGCAGGGGAAGCTATTGTTGGAAGACACCCTCCTCTTTCCTTGTGCACACAAGCAAACGCAGTCAAACACACACAAACCCAAATGCAGACAGACAGACAATCTTCTACCCTCTTCCCTCCACCTCCACCCTCCTGCTTTCAAACTTTGCAGAGAGCTGTGTGCCACCGTCACATCTTCTTTCCAAAGTCACAATTAAAGACGCTGAATGTGTGACTGTGTATGAAACTGTGTGAATGTGTGTGTATGTCTGTGTGTTAGAGGGTGAGGTGGCTGCTTTGGAAAATTTTTGATTGGCAAACTTTATCTGGGGTCCCCGAGGGACTGCGCAGCCACTGTAAATGATTTATCGGAAAAATGCATCCCAGAATGCACCTGGGGAGGCTTGTGCCCTGGGGCGATTATTGAATGACCTCTGAGAGCGCGACTTCTGCTAACCTTCCAGCCCGTCGACAAATTAACTTCTGTCAGCTTGAAGAGGTACGAGGACGACCCGTTAAGCAGCCACATTTACACAGCGGAGTTCAGATACAGTGTCAGATCCAAAACAGAGGAAGAGTCTCAGAGGGGAGGAGTACGGCGGCCCTGACATTTCAACAAACTGCAACTTAACACATGTAAACAGATGAAAAGAAATTAAGAAAACTTCTCCAGAAAATCACAACCAAACATTCTGCAACTACAGAAAACACAACTACACGACAAAGATAATGTAACAAAATGATATATTTGTAGCTTGTTTCTATATTTGGTTGTATTTTCTCATTTTGCACAATGTTAAATTAATAAACTAGTTACATTTGTTTCCTCAGGCTGCAGTGTGTTGTCCTCTCCACCATAGAGAAGCTTTATTAATAAGTTGTACATTAAATAGTTTTCATTGTGTTTGGAGCACTGTTTGCTTCACTTTAACAAACAAATCAACAACAAATGTGTGGTTCTTTATGTTGCCACACATTTGCTTACAGCTTCTCAAGGAATTTTGGAGGGTTCTTGTCTGTATCACATTCTCCAGCTCTTGTATTTTTTGCTACGAGTCATTTTGTAAGAGTACAGTCTCTGGTTTTACTCACCTAGTCTGAATCGCAAGACTGCTAGTGGTCCCCCGTGAAAGGCCAACATCAGCATGCCTGTTCCCTCTGGGCCTTCGTCCAGGCCTGTCCCCCACTGCAGTCCCCCCAGGCCTCCAGAGCAGCGCAGGTGCTGATCTACTCTTAGTGTAGCAGCTGAAGCTTCCTCCTCCGCTACCAGTGCCATGCTTAAAGGTGCCAAGCCCACATCAAAGCACATCAGCTCTCCCTGCCCTCCCCCTACCATGACCACAGACCCAGCAGGGTGCCAGGTGAGGAGGGTGGGTGGCACAGGGCAGGAGGCAAAAAGAGGGGCCTCCCGTCGCTGGTCATACAGGACCAAGGAGGAGTCACTTAAACCCAGGAGGAGCATGGTCTCAGAGGGGTGACGTGAACAGGAAACAGGGTGGGAGGACAGTGGGATGCGAGTGATAGACAGGCGGTGCAGGCGCCCTCGTGCACATTCATACACACAAGAGTCAGCCCAGGACCCCTTTTCAGCTCCTCGGGGTCCTGCAGGTAGCTCCACTGTTAGCAGCTGGTAGGGCTGGTGCAGGCTGAAGTGGCAGTCTAAGAGACTGCCTTCTGTCTGGACAGAGCTAACAACCTTTAGAGGGAGTAAATGAAAAGAAAAAGAGAATGATGATTTCAGAAATTGTATTCAAACTGAAAATGGTGCACACTCAAACATCCTCTCTGTAAACCGGATTTGATCCAACAATGCATATTGACATATCCTGCATAAACTGTTTTCTCTCCCTTGGACTGTATTAAAAGAAATGCTAGCTCAAAACACTACAGTACCTTACAGCCAGTACTGTTAATGAACTAACCTGTTTCTGAATAAAGGAGATGGAGGAATGAGTCATACCATGAGGGAAGCGCCAAACCCCCTGGAGATGGAAGAACTAGTCTTCCACTTTGCTCACAAACACCGGCTGTCAATCAAGACAGCTAATGATCCATTTTAATTCAAGGTCAACACCATCTTCTCCCTGAGCATGCCATAACTTGGCACCAGAGATAAACAACCTCCACTGTTTACCTGTGTGAAGAGCCAGGAGCTCAACACTTGACAAGATGAATGACATGAACCAATCCCTTTCAATATAAAGAGCATGATATATGGAAATAGCTCATTTGACCAATGGCCAAATACTGAAATTAGATTATGCACTTCTGGACCAAAACCAGTTGGGACAGGGCACAATGGCCCTGCTAAGCTAGCAAGCAACACTGAGGGGGTTAGGCCTGGTGGTGCTGTTGATAAAACACCCACAAGGAATGCGGAACAGTAGGTAGATCACAGGAGACAACAGCCAGTAGTAAGCAGCAGCCTGACAGTTCCAGAGTCACTAGCAGAGCTTGTTAGGAGGGATTTCACCTTACCAAAGCCTCTATCATAGCCCTGCATTGACCGTGGCAGCTTTGGCTAAATGAGCCCATTTCTTTTCGTCGTGTA